CCACTAGCTTTGTTTGTAGTGATGTTTCCTAAGGGCCACTTGACCTAGCATTCCAGGACGTCTGGCTTAAGGTGAGCGATCACACCATTGTGGTTATCTGGGTCATGAAGATCTCTTTTGTATAGTTTTTCTGTGTATTCTTGTCATCTCTTCATAGCATCTTCCGCTTCTGTTAGGCCCATGCCATTTCTGTCCTTTATTGTGACCATCTTTGCATGTTATGTTCCCTTGGTATCTCTAATTTTCTTGAAGAGATCTCTAGTCTTTCCCATTCTATTGTTTTCCTCTATTTCTTTGCATTGATTACTGAGGAATGCTTTCTTAACTCTCCTTGCTATTCTCTGGAACTCTGCATTCAAATGGGTATATCTTTCCTTTTCTTCTTTGCCTTTCACTTTTCTTTTCACAGCTGTTTGTAAGGCCTCTTCAGACAACCATTTTGCCTTTTCACATTTCTTTTCCATGGGGATGGTCTTCATCCCTGCCTCCTGTACAGTGTCATGAACTTCCATCCATAGTTCTTCTGGCACTCTGGCTCTCAGATCTAACCCCTTGAATATATTTCTTACTTCTACTGTATAATTGTAAGGGATTTGATTTAGGTCATACCTGAAGGTCTAGTGGTTTTCCCTACTTTCTGCAATTTAAGTCTGAATTTGGCAATAAGGAGTTCATGATCTGAGCCACAGTCAGCCCCCAGTCTTGCTTTTACTGACTGTATAGAGCTTCTCCATCTTTGGCTGCAAAGAAATCAATCTGATTTCAGTGTTGACCATCTGGTGGTGTCCATGTGTAGAGTCTTCTCTTATGTTGTTGGAAGAGGGTGTTTGCTATGACCAGTGTGTTCTTTTGGCAGAACTCTGTTAGCCTTTGCCCTGCTTCATTCTGTACTCCAAGGTCAAATTTGCCTGTTACTCCAGGTATTTCTTGACTTCCTACTTTTGCATTCCAGTCCCCTATAATGAAAAGGACATCTTTTTTGGGTGTTAGTTCTAGAAGGTCTTGTAGGTCTCAGAGAATTGTTTAACTTCAGCTTCTTGAGCATTACTGGTCAGGGCACAGACTTGGATTACTGTGATATTAAATGGTTTGCCTTGGAAACAAACTGAGATCATTCTGTGGTTTTTGATACTGCACCCAAGTACTGCATTTCAGACTCTTTTGTTGACTAGGAGGGCTACTCCATTTCTTCTAAGGAATTCTTGCCCACAGTAGTAGATATAATGGTCATCTGAATCAAATTGGCCCATTCCAGTCCATTTTAGTTCACTGTTTCCTAAAATGCTGATGTTCACTCTTGCCATGTCCTGTTTGACCACTTCCAATTTACCTTGATTCTTTGACTTTCCAGGTTTCCAGTACTCTTCTTTACAACATCAGATTTTACTTCCATCACCAGTCGTATCCACAACTGGCGTTGTTTTCGCTTTGGCTGAGCTTCGTCATTGCTTCTGGAGCTATTTCTCCACTCTTGTCCAGTAGCATATTGGGCATCTACTGATTTGGGGAGTTCATCTTTCAGTGTCCTATCTTTTTGCCTTTTCATACTGTTCATGGGGTTCTCAAGGCAAGAATAATGCAGTGGTTAGACATTCCCTTCTCCAGTAGACCACGTTTTGTCAGACCTCTCCACCATGCCCCATCCATCTTGGGTAGCCCTATATGGCATGGCTCATAGTTTCACTGAGTTAAGACAAGGCTATGATCCAAGTGATCAGTTTGGTTAATTATCTGTAATTGTGGCTTCCATTCTGTCTGTCAGAATGAGACTGATACTGGAGTGTATATCTAGATATATTGGAGTGGGTTGCCATTTCTTTCTCCAGGGGATCTTCCCGACCCTGTGCCTGAACCTGTGTCTCCTGCATTGTAGGCACAGTCTTCATCGCCACCAGGGAAGTACTATGCCCAAACAACTCCTGAGAAACCAGAATCCTGGACAACAAAAGGCCTGTGGGAACTCATTTAACAAGTTATGTTCTACTAATAACAAAATGTGTGACATGGAACTTCTGTGGTAGTCCAGTGGTTAAGAATCTGCCTTTAAATGCAGGGGACTTGAGTTTGACTCCTGGTCCCAGAAAGATTTCACATGCCGCAGAGCAACTAAGCCTGCGCGCCACAACTACTGAGCCTGTGTGCCTCAACTATAGAGAATCCTGCACATTGCAATGAAGAGCCCTTGCACTGCAACTAAGGCCCAATGCAGCTAAAAATAAACAATTTAAAAAAATAATAAACAGCAACTAACATTAAAATAATACATTTTATAAAACCTAAAAAAATCTGTGACAAAGCAAAGCTGAAAACGGAAATTATTTATTATTATCAGGTGGGAAGCAATTTCACACTGATTATTACCTTTGAATATTCATACAATGCAATGAATCTGTGCCCATATCAGTAGCCTGAGGCAGGCAGTTTTCAAGTTATTTAAATGTTAGCTCACTTAAACCTCCAAAGAGTTTCTTAAGGAAGGTTTGATGAACCCATTGTGCAAATGAGAAAATTCTGTCCAGAGAGGAGAAATTAAGTTTCAAGGTGACAAAATATTGTAACTTGATTTTCAGCTTTTAAGTCCAGAATTCTTTCTAAATAATGGAGTGCCTCTACCCCTGTGTACTGCAAGATGAACGACTCACTTAGGAAAGTGACAGCATATGTCCAAAATGTTCCACATTAGACTTGCAAGAACAGAACCTACAGGTTGGATGAAAACCACTTCTTTGATATTCTAGGTGACCCAACTCCTTTCTGGAAGTTTCCAGTAGGTTTATTGTTAGGTTTTATTAAAATCAGACAAATAAACTTGGGTAAATAAAAATTTGTTCATTCCAGCATTGCTAATAATAATGAAATTGGAATCAACCTAGTTGAGCAACTATAGAAGAATTTTAATATAATAAAAATCCATATATGTGACAGAACACACACTAGGCATCTAAATTCATGTTCTATATGACTGTATTTGAACATCAAGACATTTCTAAGTCAAAAAAAGCAGAAAATAATGCATACTATAAAATCTGATTAAATATGACAATAACATGTATACGTGTACGTCTCTGTGTATGCATATATACTTTTTTTTTTTTTACAAAACTGGAATGATACAATTCAATGCAGTGTATGTTTTACAGTTATTTATGGATTTTGAGGTTTCTTGTCTTTTACTTCTTTTCCAGTATTTTTGCTTTCTGAATTTTCTAGAGTAAACTTGTATTTCCTTGATATAAGAATTTTTTTTTTTTTTTTTTTTTTACAAAACACAACATAAAGTTAAGAAGTTCAGAAAGCAGGAGGAAACCCATCATGACAAGGTATCTTCCCTGTTTCAAAGGTCTGGAATGTTGCAGGATATGGCTGAACCCACTGCAAATGGCATCCACAGACCTCATCTGTCACTGCAACCTCCTCTCTTTCTCAGCTGTTCCTACATTTTTTCATTCAGGCCAAAGGTGCTAATTATTGCTGTGGAACATTCTATATTTTTTCTGCTATGCTCCTTCTTTCTGTGGTTTGTTCCTTCTGCTCCTGCCTCCTTGGATTGCCTGCTCAGGGTTACCCTGGTCAGTGATCTGTTCTCACCGCCCCCCCACCCCCCACCCCCACTTGGCCAAGTCCTGTAGACATCTCCCTGCTCCCTTCCCAGTACCTCCTGCTGAGTTTGCCTTTAACTCACACTAAGTGTTTGGCCTCCCAGGGCCTGCTCAGATCAGCACACAATGCATCAATGCCTTCTCTCTCCTACGCAGCTATACTATCCCCTCTCAAGGTTCTAACACGTGTTCCTTAAAGGAGAGGCATCAGCCACAAAGGAGCACATTACATCTCTCTTCCTTTCTGAGGTAAGTCAACCTGGGTACACGCTGTAGGGAGAGTGGGCATTGTGTTCTAGTGCTCCTGGATCTTCCATTGTTGAAGCTCCACACCTGAAGGAAGCCAGGGAAGATATCAGGATGAGGTGGGGGTCCACTTAATCAAAACATGGAGTCACAGACTGGCTCAGAAGCAGGCCGAGCAGACAGCTCTGGACACAGTGCCGACAGCCTGCAGCCATCCTTGAGAGTGCAGTACTTCAGAGGCATTTCAATGATATTCGATGACAAATATCACACCATAACATAAAGGCAAAGAGCTTATGTAAATTACATAATCAGCATATGCTACAAAGCAGCGATTAAGGCCTCTGGGATAGGGAGGACTAGCTCACTTTTGCAGAATTAGGAAGATGGGGAGAGTTCGGTGTGGTCCTTAGTCAACCCTGGAATCTCCATACACCATTCTCTAGGGTTGGAAAGGCTGTTACAAAGACAGGCAACCCCAAGGGAGGATTTGCTCACTGCATTCTCCCTTTCTGTGTATGGAGGAAAAGAGCTTTGGAACTCCCGTGGGAATCACTCTTCTTTTCTCCCTATGTACCCTCTCAGAATGCTCCAAGAGAGTTTAGCTCTCCAAGCCAGAAGATTCTCAGCACAGCCAAGTAGGCCTGGATTTGCTCTATTACAAATCTCTGTCTTAATCCCAATAGGCAATCTCTACTTTATTACTGAGTACAGATCTGCTTCCTCTATTGAGAAGCTCTTGTTCTCTAGAAGCCTCTAGCAGCCTCAACATTTTCTTTGTATCCTCTCAAACAATAACAACAACAACAACAACAACAAAAGAAGATCGCCAGGTAAGATGCCTTTTCAAGACACTTAAAATACCTCCACATTAAAATAATACAATTATTCCCAAATAGTATCCTCTCATTTACTTCTAAGTAGTCACAGATCTGTCACTGAGAGCTCTGTTTATTTATGACTAATCAAAGTTTAACCTTTCCTGAGCATTTGTTCTTGGGGAAGTAGCATGCAATGCGTAGACTGGAGATGAATATTCACTTCAAAAGTGGTCTCACTATCCTGATAACCCCTTATTTGGTGACTGCATCAAAAGGTAACAACATCCTGAACAATATCTCAGAGCATCACTTTGAGGACATGCCAGGAGGAAAAATGGCCATACCCTTTGGAGTACTCTGCTCACAACTGTTCTTTATCCTGATATATTTGGAGTTACCTTCTGGTGAGTAAGGCAGCTGTTTTGGGCAGGGATGTAATAAGGATGTAATAAAGTTGATTGACATTATAATCTGAAAGAGAATGCTTTGAAATTCTTACTTATATTTTTATTTAAGTGTTTCATTTTACTATGTTCATATATCTGTATCTATAGAGAAAGATACAGTGAAGTGTGATTTAAAAAAAAAAAAAAAAAAGGCCCTGGGCCAAAGGGCAGAGGCCTTAGCTTTCCCATCTGTTAACGCAAATTATGAGACCTAACTCATGGGGATGAGGTGTGTGGGTGACTGGGTGAAGTAACGTGTGAAAGTGACTGGCAATAAGCCTCCACCACAGTGCACCACAAAAATTCAGAACTTTTAAAAATTTTCTGCCATATATTTGAGTGTAATTATCTTTTGTGTCCTTTTTAGAGAAGTCATGTGGGGAAACCTGGTTTCAAGGATAGAGGAGCTTAGTTTTTTTCCGTATCTGTCATGAATTCTTGGGCAATTCATAAGATAAGGGGAAGGGGTTAAAAGATCTCTTTAAAATTCCAGCATTTCTTGAAATTTCCTAATACCATACACAAAGATAAACTTGAAATGGATTAAAGGCCTAAACATAAGACCAGAAACTATAAAACTCTTAGAGGAAAACATAGGCAGAACACTGTATGATATAAATCATAGCAAGGTTCTTCATGACCCACCTCCTAGAATAATAGAAATAAAAACAAAGATAAACAAGTGGGACCTAATTAAACTTAAAAGCTTTTGCACATCAAAGGAAACTATAAACAAAGTGAAAAGACAACTCTCAGAATGGGAGAAAAGAATAGCAAATGAAACAACTGACAAAGGATTAACTTCCAAAACATACAAGCAGTTCATACAATGTCAGAGAAACAAACAACCCAATCAAAAAGTAGCAAAAGACCTCAACAAACATTTCTCCAAAGAAGACACAGAGATGGCTAATAAACACATAAGATGCTCAACATCACTCATTATTAGAGAAATACAGATCAAAACTACAGTGAGATAGGTCGGAATGACCATCATCAAAAAATCCACAAAGAACAACTGCCAGAGAGGGTGTGGAGAAAAGGGAACATTCTTGCACTGCTGGTAGGAATGTCAACTGATAGTCACTATAGAAGACAGTATGGAGATTCTTTAAAAAAAAAAACAAAACTAGGGATAAAATTACCATACAACCCAGCAACACCACTTCTAGGCATATACTCTGAGGAAACCAAAACTGAAAAAAGACACATGTACCTCAGCGTTCACTGTAGCACTGTCATTTACAAGAGCAGAACATGAAAGGAATCTAGATGTCCACTGACAGATGAATGGATAAAGAAGCTGTGGTACAGATATACATACAACAGAATACTACTCAGTCATTAAAAGAAATGCATTTAGATCAGTTCTAATGACGTGGATGAACCCAGAGCCTATTAGAGAGAGTGAAATAAGTCAGAAAGAGAAAAGCAAATATCATACATTAACACATGTATATGGAATCTATAAAGATGGTACTGATGAGCCTATTTGCAGGGCAGTAATGGAGACGCATGGAGAAGGCAATGGCACCCCACTCCAGTGTTCTTGCCTAGGAGCCTGGTAGGCTGCGGTCCATTGGGTTGCTAAGAGTCGGACACAACTGAGCGACTTCACTTTCATTTTTCACTTTCATGCATTGGAGAAGGAAATGGCAACCCACTCCAGTATTCTTGCCTGGAGAATCCCAGGGATGGGGGAGCCTGGTGGGCTGCCATCTATGGGGTTGCACAGAGTCGGACATGACTGAAGTGACTTAGCAATGGAGACACAGACACAGAGAACAGATTTATGGACAAGGGCAGGGGAGCATAAGGAGAGGGAGCGATGAATGGAGAGAGTAGTGTGGGAGTATGCACATTACCATATGTAAATAGACAGCCAATGGAGATTGACTGTACAAAGCAGGGAACTCAAACTGGGACTCTGTAATAATCTAGAGGGGTGGGGAAGGGTGGGAGGTGGAAGAGAGTTTCAAGAGGGAGGGGACATACATACACCTGTGATTTATTCCTGTTGATGTATGACAGAAATCAAACCACTATTGTAAAGCGATCAATCAATTAAACATAAATAATTACAAAAATTTTTCTAGCATTTCTTAATTTCCTTCATATACTGGCTGTCAGCTCTGAATCTTCTCAAGCCCAGGCTAATTAGTTAATCGAAGCAATTATCTGGTACACTGGACTGGTAGTGATGCGTCTGTAGAGTCCTCTGCTGATTATCTACCAGGAGTAAAAGAGTTACCCCACATTTTAAGAAAATGAATGAATATATGTATAAATGAAATCTTGGTACTACATTAGAACTACATTCTGTCAACAGATTAAGGCTATATGACTTCTCAGACACTAGATTCTGTAACTATTTTCATTTGTTATGGTTTCAGGCTCTCCACCCTGGTGGCCACCACATGGAAATATTAAGGTAATCTTCCTCCAAATTTCCTAGGAACGAAACTCGAACCTGAGTTTTCTTTGGAATTACTGTCTTAGAACTTTCCTGAGGCAACTGATGTTCTTTAAGTTTCAGACACATGAAAGTGGCAGGCATGCTGTAGGTACAGAAGCGCAGAGGAGAGTAATCCCAACTGGGACCCACGCTGAGACTTGGTCATGGGTACACCACAGAACCCTCCGCAGTGCCTGGAAAATGCTTGTGGCCACTGGCAGTTGCCAGGGGGCATGGCAGGTTCTTACACGCCCACAGACTTGAGCATTGCATGGTTTCTTCTCTGGAGGGGATTGCAGTTTGATGAAGAGTATGCTCCTAACTGCCCTATAAGATGCAGAGAATGCCTAGGGGAGTTGTGATGGCAAACGCCAACTGTCAGATATAGACTGAGGATATGTGAAGGAACAGGCTATCTCTGAACAGAGCCGCAGAGTCTGTTTCCAACTTGCATGAGGGCAAAGTGATAGAGGTAGCGTTTTCATTTTGAGCTATACTTCTGAGCACTGAATATATTGTGAGGTAAAATAAGTGTTTAATAAATGGGGGAAATGAAGAAATGAAAAACTGTTTTGGTTTTCTGATGTAGATGAGTGTTCCTGCACTCCATCATTTAGGAGCATCTGCACTTCAAGCTTAGCCTCACTAGTAAATTTTAAATTTTACTTCTTAAAAAAATCCATTCATGAGTTGACTGGTGACAAAGGTGCTTTGAGGGCAGCTTAGCCTTCAGGGGACCCATAGATCAGAGTGCAGAACCTGTCAGGGGCTATAACTCCAGCCAAAGAGTCTGTAGAATCGGTCCAGGATTTACACTTTAGTCTCACAGAGTTCAGTCCTAGAGTTTTCCTCTTCTGAAGGTTGCCGGTAAGAATGGTCCTTCACTTGTCCATCAACTTACAAACAAAAATAAACTTACTCATTCTTTCTTAGTTTCTTTAAGAAATATTTATCATCTGTGCTGTCCCCGAGGATACAATGCTGAGGGGAAAAAAGACATATTCCCTTCTCTCATGAAACTTACAGATAGCCAGAAAACAGAAAGAGAGGGACTGTTATTTGTAGTAAATTTTGTAAATAAAATAGGATGGTACAACAGAGAATATCTATTGAAAGCAGAGATACTACAGTCAACAATGTGATCAGTGAAGACTTCTTGGGCATGGGGATATCAGATGTGAATGGAGAAAAGGAGTCACCCAGCAGAGAGCAGTGAGGAGGATTTACCTACTTGAGTCACTGAAGACTTGTGAGATTGGAGCACAGACTGAGGGAGCGGCTACACCATTAGGCAGCAGATGAACGCATAGTCTGCCCACCATGAACAGGCTCATATTCTCTTTAGAATAGGAGGAATATATACAACCTACTATAAAGAGGGAAAAAAAGCTGTATTTACAGATGGTACTAGCTACTCTTGCTATTATTTGATTATACTCATTCTGTTTGAACTATTTTATATCTTACTTTGCACATATTTAAGGGCAATGATTAAGTGCCAATATATGTGCTGCTCACATAAAGGTTAGTCTAATCAGACACAGACTTAACTGTTATGGACTTATAGTTCTTTGGGGTGTGCAGTTAGTCAAATAATCATACAAATGCTTTATTATACAGTGATTAGAGGTATTAAAGAGAATGGAAAGTTGGAATTGTATTTTGAGAAATATCTCTGAGAAAATAGATCATAACCTGGCTCTGAAGGTAGAATGAGTTTGTTCTTGTTTGTGTCTGACTCTTTGCAACCTCATGGACTGTAGCCTGCCAGGCTCCTTTGTTGATGGGATTTCCCCAGGTAAGAATACTGGAGTGGGTTGCCTGTTCCTTCTCCAGGGGATCTTCCCAACCAAGGGATCTAACCTGCATCCCCTGAATTGGTGGGCAAATTCCTTACCAATGAACCACCTGGGAAGCCCTAGAATGAGTTTAGGTTCAAGGAAAAAGAGAATACATTTGATGGGGTGGTGACAAACCACAAGACTCTGAGATGGAGGGGCTATGGAGCATTTGAAGCAAAAAAAACTGGCAGGAATGGCAAAGAGCAAGGCGGTATAAAGCAAGGTTGGAAAAGTCAGGAGGTGACAGATCACATAGGATCTTTTAGCCCATAGTAAGAAATTCTTTATGTGCAGTGAAATGCAATTAAAAGAACTTAATGACAGGATTATGTATGCAGGTCAAGAAGCAACAGTTAGAACCAGACATGGAACACAGACTGGTTCCAAATTGGAAAAAGAGTACATCAGGGCCATATATTGTCACCCTGCTTATTTAACTTGTATGCAGAGTACATTATGCAAAATGCTGGGCTGGATGAAGCACAAGCTGGAATCAAGATGGCCGGGAGAAATATCAATAACCTCGGATATGCAGATGACAGAAAGTGAAGAAGAACTAAAGACCCTCTTGATGAAAGTGAAAGAGGAGAGTGAAAAAGTTGGCTTTAAACTCAACATTCCAAAAACAAATATCATAGCATCTGGTCCCATGACTTCATGGCAAATAGATGGGGAAACAATGGAAAAAGTAACAGACTTTATTTTGGGGGGCTCCAAAATCACTGCAGATGGTGACTGCAGTCATGAAATTAAAAGACGCTTGCTCCTTGGAAGGAAAGTTATGACCAATCTAGACAGCATATAAAAAGCAGAGACATTACTTTGTCAACAAAGGTTGGTCTAGTCAAGGCTATGGTTTTTCTAGTAGTCATGTATGGATGTGAGAGCTGCACCATAAAGAAAGCTGAGTGTCGGAGAATTGATGCTTTTGAACTGTGGTCTTGGAAGAGACTCTTAAGAGTCCCTTGGACTGCAAAGAGATCAAACCAGTCAATCCTAAGGAAATCAGTCCTGAATATTCATTGGAAGGACTGATGCTAAAGCTGAAACTCCAATACTTTGGCCACCTGATATGAAGAACTGACTCATTAGAAAAGACCCTGATACTGAGAAAGATTGAAGGCAAAAGGAGAAGGAGATGAGGATGAGGTGGTTGAATGGCATCACCAATTCGAAGGACATGAGTTTGAGCCAGCTCTGGAAGTTGGTAATGGACAGGGAAGCCTGGCATGCTGCAGTCCATGGGGTTACAAAGAGTCAGACATAACTGAGCAACTGAACTGAACTAAGAAGCTAAATTTCCCAATTCTGTCCTGTTTACACACGCTTTCATTTCCCAGTAGAACACAGCAGGCCTCCTTTCTCTGTTCCTTTCAGGAGATCCTGACAAGGAGGGCATCACGTTGTTAGCTGAAAGGACATACCTAGGTTCTTGTCCACTTGCTTTGCGTAAGTGGGAGCTGGAGAGCTGCTGGCAGACTGGGTTACGAGCCCACATTTAAATTTTCCTAGTGAAGTCCAGAGGTCTCTATAAGTGTGATTCTAATTGTATCACTGTTTTCAACTCAATTTCAGGTGAAATGTCCATATAAGAAAGTAGACTTCAGCTGGTTCCAGGGAACAGTGAATCCCTGCCCTGGTTTATACCAACCCATCTGTGGCAACAATTTGCTAACCTATGACAACCCATGCATCTTGTGTGTTGAGAGTATGTGAGTACTACTGGGTGAAAAATACAACAAAAAAGCTTAGTCCGAGGCAATTACTATCAATCTCTTCTACCAAGTACGACAGCTATGAAGCCAGGAATTTGCTCCAGTATGCTCAGATAATAATCAGCCCCCACTCAGGAGAACATGTGGTAACACAGAGCTCTCTTGAGTAGAAAGCAGACTCGCTGTACTCAGGAGGGCTTGCTGCGCTCTTTCTTCTCTCAGCCCTCACATTCCCATAAGCCAACTGACAGATTTGTTTTCACTTGAAGCTTCAAATATCCCTTTGAGTCCTTGAAATTCTTTGGTTTTAAGATAAGTTGTAGTTTCCTTCTTTCAGATATCTTCAACTTCATGTGTCTGAAATTCTGAGCTAGGATAAGGTGACCATAAAGTTTGGGGCCTTTGGTAAATAGTCAGTGCTTAGTCTTTGGATTTATGGAACATGATTATCAGTGATTAGACTCTGAGTTCTCACAAAACGTGGGGCTTCAGGGTTGATCTCTGTATAAGATAGTCCAGTTTTCAGGGAGAAAAACTCTTCCCATAGCATCAGACTGGAGGCCTCTATCCAATAATAATTTTGCAATTTTCACAAAGGGCAATGACAGGAATATGTAAACTCTAGGCCATCCCCACTAACTGAGGAATTCAGCCAAAGCGTAAGAGTATTGACAGAATAAGTTAAAGACTGATATGCCTCATATATCATAAGCTCAGGCCTGATTAAATAACTTATTTTCAGAGATATTATAGTATACGGCATAATATCTTCAGTGGCATCTTAGCATGATGGGAAGATAACAGAGTAGGGAATCCAATAACCTGGATTCTGTCTGTAGTCAATATCCTTTATGCTTTTAGTTTCCTCAAATATAAAATAAGGGTGACAGATAATTTTACAAGTATTTTTGTAGTTCTGACAATTCTATTAATAAAATACTTATTCTGATTCTTTCTTTAGGAAATCTTGGGAGAAAATTAGATTTCTACGTGATGGACAATGCTAGTTGAGTGGACTTGGAAGTGAAAAGAAGACCTTTCATTTTCTTTCCATTGAGAAACCCTTCTCCTGCAACTCACCCCTCCTGCATGTATTCTTAGTGACAGAAAACTGCCCCCACTGAGCTTGTATCAGATAGAGTCCTTCTTCGGACCTCTCCCCTCAGTAATTCACTGCCTTCCATATTCGCCCTAATAAACAAACATTTCTGAAAGTCGCATTTCACTTGGGTGTCAGATCTGTGTCTCGAGTCTCAGAAGTAGAACAAAATGAACATTTGAGCCAAAGGTCAATAACAAACATGGAGCTTAATCAGATCTCTGATACTGTAAACCATGGAGTAATCTATGTGAAGGTTCCTGGTTGTTTCCCAAAAATACAACAGAAATTTCTTCCATATCCCTTTGGCATTAAAAAAAAAATTAATAGGAAATGTGGGCTGTTGTGCTCTTCGTGGTCATTCCTGTTGCCTCCTTTCCACATTAAACAATCTCACTTTCAGACTCAGCCTTGAAGCAGAGTCATTCATGCATGTCTGGCTTAGGTAGGCAGGGTCCTACATTTTCACCACCGCTCTCTTTTCTTCATAGGAGGTCTACATTAATAGTATCCATGAATGTCCCATTGATCATTGGTCTTTTTCTTAAGTTCTCTTGACACATTTTAACCTCTGAAACATATGGGGACATTGTTCTTTGGGTTCAGTCCTTTCTATCTGCCTCTCTCTTTCACACAGGCATACATACACACTTAATACAGAAAAACGACTAATATACACTCTCTTTCCCTCAGCAGCTCACTCCCTATTGGCCAGGGAAACGGTATCTCCTTTGACTCTGAATATCCTATAAGACTATTATCAGATTATTTATATGTTGTGTTGGCTCTCTGAGCTTAACTACCATACTGATTACAAGGGGGACACATGGGTCCAATAAAAAGGAAGCAATCACCTTAGGTCTGTCATCTTTAAAATAGGAAAAGCAAACAGCTCTGGGGAAAATCAAGAGAGTCTCTACCTTTACAGAGTATCAGTTTCCACTGCTGAGTCCTGGGCCATACAGGAACACCAAGAACTCCAGGCAGGATTATTTTCTAACACGATTGCTTTGATTTCATGTTCATAAATCTTTTCTTCTGTAGTCATTGATCTGCAATTAATGCCATTCAGTAGCTTTTTCATCTCATTTTAATTTTTATCTCTACAAGTTTGATTTATATCTTCCATGTTTATAACTTTTAAAATATCTGGTATGCAGTTACAATAACTATTTTTATGATTTTATTTTCTAATTCTATTAGCTGTGTCCATTCTGAGTTGGCTACTTCTCTTCTTGTTATAGGTAATATTTTAGGATATAAGACATTATGAACTTTACATTGCTTGGTTCTGAATACTTTGGTATTTTTAGAATTATTCCTGAGCTTTGTTTGAGATATAGCTCAGTTATTTGGAAATACTATGATCCTCTGAAATTTTGCTTTTTAGAGTTAGATGGGGCCAGTGCAGTACTACTAAGTGGGCTAATGACTTCTCATTACTGAGAAAAAACACTTTGGAGGACTCTACTCAAGGCACCATGGATTCTAAGGCTTTCTGGTCTAGCTAATTGGAACAAGCGCCATTACCAGCCCTGTATGAGACCAGGGTTTGTTATCACTAATCCTCTCTGGCAGTTATTTCTTAGCCCTGGGTAGTTTCCCCACACACAAAAGCACAAATCAGTAATCTGATGTGCTTTCTGTCCAGCTCTTCAGGACTGTGGTCCCACAAGCTACAGCCAATTTGGTCTCTCTCCTCTCTGCTCTATCTTCCCAACTCAGGTAATCCACCTGCCCTATCAGAGTTCCTCTTTCCTCTTCCTAAGATCTCTCACAATGCAGAAACCAAGGCCAACCACAGAGCTTACCATATTTGTTTCCCATCCCTCAGGTTTCAGCATTCTTCTTTGCCTGACTAGACAGTGTCATTGTTTCATATATTTTGTCTAATTTTTTGTCTTTTCAGGTAGACAGTATAACTGGTTTCTCTCACTCTTTATTATCTGAAAGTAGAAGTCAGGTTTATTTTTATCTTCATGTTTTAATTGGAAACCTTCTAAAGCCTAGAATACAATGTCATTATTTTAATTTTTCTAAGGACTCTGAAGCATAAGTTTGTGCTCCGTAATAATACAATTCCCCCCACGCCCTAGTGAATAACACGTTTACTTAAATTTGCTACATACAACAGCAAAAAGAACTTTCGTAATAGTATTTTTTCTGTCATTTGATAGTAGACATTTTCAAAAAAAATTAAAGAAGCTCAGCATATTTATCTAAATATAAGACTTCCTTCCTTTCAGGGCAACCCCTAAAAGATGATGATTTCCATAAATACTATACCATTGTCAACATGAAAGCGTCTTCCTTGCTTTGACAACCACTGCCTGTGTTATTTTGCTCGCCCTCTCTGGAAGGTGTTTTGAATTTTGACCTTCTTCTATATGGTTCCCTTATTTTTTATCCTCTAATTGTTGGTCAGTCCTTGCTATCTTCTCTTTACCTATCCCCACTTCCTCTGTTTGATGATCTCCATTGCCTATATAATTATTGCTCACATATTCATACCATGAGAGTGTACCCATCTTCTTGGTATCAGGTACTAACATCTTCATTTCACTGGCTCAGAATTTTTAAAATCAATCTATCTAATGTAAGTGCTATTTTTTTCCTTTCTAAAAGTGGTATTACATATGCTTTGAGTTATTGAAAGTTAATGTTACTTACTCTTGAGTCCTTTCTCACTCGAACTCAATTTCAATATATAATTTGTTTAGTCCTTATTTCATCTTAAGTATAAATTAAACCCATAAACTAAACCCATATATTTAGTCCAGGTGCTCATAATGTTACATGAGTTCCTTTTATATTCTTATAACTATTATCTCAGCCTCCAATCTCTTCTCCTATCCATAGCTCTGCCTCCATTTATAATTATTTAAATATGATCTGTTTTAAAAAGCACTATTTTTGTGAGTTATAATACAAACATCTTAGTATGACTTATAAGACACTTTTTTCAACTTGGACCGTAACTCTTGAAGGATTTTGTTAACAAACTCTATCTGCCCATAAGGTGGCAGCAAAACACTGCTGTTTAAATCAATAACTTTGATGAGACCTGGACTAACTTAGTGGCTCAGACATTAAAGCGTCTGCCTACAATGCAGGAGACCTGGGTTTGATCCCTGGGTAGAGAAGATCCCCTGGAGAAGGAAATGGCAACCCGCTCCAGTACTCTTGCTTGGAAAATCCCATGGATGGAGGAGCCTGGTAGGCTACAGTCCAGAGGGTCGCAAAAAGTCGAACACGACTGACTGACTTTACTTCACTTCAGGGCCAATGCATAGATACCAATAATGTGATTTAGTGGCAAGTTACTAATGCTCAATGAGCTACATATTTCTCACCACTTCAAATGATGATAATACAGAGCTCCAGTCAGGATGTTGGACTAGAAGGATGTGGAACTCACCTCCTCTCACAAATACATCAATAAATACATCTACAAATGGAACAATTCTTACAGAACACCTACTGAACACTAGCAGATCTCAAACACTTGAAAAGACAAGAAAGAGCTCCATGTAACCAGGAAAGATGAATGGAAAAAAAAAAAGAGAGAGAGAGAGGAAGCAGGACAAGACCTGAACCTCTGGGAGGGAGCTTAAAAAGAAGAAAGCTCCCTTCATCTCAGGAAGACCCCTCACCTGCAGGGAGATCAGCCAGGACAGAAAGGGATCTTCAGAGGCTCAGCGAGCACAACACTAGTTTATGGCAGGTAGAACTGAGAGACCTACACAGTCATGCCACTGCCCTGCACACCCAAGCCTGAGACATGCATCTGCTGGTACAGGTGGGGACTGGGTGTTGAAACTGGGGATGAGAGGACAGACCCAGCGAGAACCGCTGTTGGCCGTGTGAAGACAGCCTGAAGAGTGCTATGTCTGCAAACAGGAGTCTGGGTGGAAACAGCACCTGACTGCCATAGAAGCAAAGCACTGTTGTAAAGTGGCATGCAAAAAGCGAGGTGGGGCTGCCTCAGCTGCTTCTTTCTCCACATGTCAGCCCTGCCTCCATGGGCTCTGGGACAGCAAGCCCCAGCCACTGCCTGAAGTGCTCCCACCTCAGCAGGCTCCCACATCCCAGATGTCACCTTGCTGGGTTCTGGGAGCAAATGCCAGTGGGTTGCCCAAGCACAAAAGCAGGGCTAAAACCATGGCTGAGTCCAAGGGGCTGCACAACCTAGGAAGCAAGGCCAAAATGTCTCTCTGTGACTATGTAAGCCTCAGATTTACACCTCCACCACTGGCTTTGTAAATTCAGCATCTGCAAGACATCCAAGTGGAAAAGAGGTGCTCCAGTAGCTGGTACGGGTCTGGCTTTAGCAGCTGTGGGCCACAGTGGGTTCACATGCATGACTACCACAGTCCTGGGCTTGGACTTTGGTGGATCTGCACTGGTGGCCTTGTGAAACAACGCCTAAGGGACACCAGGGCCAAGTGCTGGCACTCCCACGGTTGAGGCAAGGGCCAACAGCAGTGCCAACAGTACTTTGTGAGCCTGTACAACGCACGACAGGTTTCACCACAGAGCACACCCATCAGTGAACAGCTCTGGCAGAGGAATACTCAGCGGCTCATTTCCCAGTGGGAGCACTCCAATCCCACCTACCTCCCACCACAGAGAAGAAATGCAGCTCAGAAACAGATCTGAGGGCCTCAACTCCCACAGCTAGGGAATAGACCCAGCCCCTGACAGGGCAGGGACAACCACGGAACAAAGAGGTCCTGGGCAGGGTCTGGTCAGCACCACACCTGTCACATCTCCTATCACGGGGATAACAGCCAGCAGACACAGAGGAGAGAGGTGGGAGGCATCCATGCTAAAAGTAGTCCTTGCATTAAAAAACATTAAATTCACACAGGAATACTCCTACAGAAAAATAGCCCTCCAAGACCACAG